TAGATAGATAGATAGATAGATAGATAGATAGATAGATAGATAGATAGATAGATAGCATTTGTTAAATACAATGTGCCAGACACTGTGCTAAGCACTGGAGATACAAACACAAGAAGGGCAGTCCCTGCCCTCATGGAGCTTACATTCTAATGGAGGAAAACAGCACGTAAGGCCAGAAGAGGGGAGTGGGGGAGAAAGGGGGAAAGCAGGCACAGCTGGCAAGTCTCATGGAGGCAGCATTCTGAGCAAAATAAGGTGAAAGCTCACCTATCAGAGGAGGGGGATGAATAGGCAGAGTCTAAGGTTATAGAGGTGGGGACAGGGGAGGGAAGGGTACAGGGAATGGGGTGAGGAAGCTCAGAGTACAAGCAGCATAGTGAAGAGATGACTGGGAAGCTTCTTGGAGGCCTAGTTCCAGGCAAGACACTTGTTCACTTATTAGAACCACAGAGTCTGAGGGATCAGTTGGGGTGGCAATGAGGATGCTAGAGAGTACACAGATGGAAATAGCCTGGAAGCCTTTTGGAGGCAGGGGGGCATGGTCAGTAAAGCCTGGCCCAGAGGTTGCCTTGTGAGTAACCCTAACTTTGAGAGGTCAGGGATCTTGCTCACTATGGTTTCTGGGTTAGGCTGCTTCCTGGGGGAGAGAATAGGGGTGGTGTGTGGACCCCAGGGCTCAGAAACAGCAAGGAGGGACCAGAGCCTTTGGGGCCCAGGGGAACAAGCTGTCTTCAGATGATGGGCATCCCATGGGAAGGGAGGCTACCTCACTAGAGGCCTTAAGGGAGCTTTCCTTCTAGGGGAGACAGACCCTCAGAAGGCTGTATTTGTCTCCATGAATTGAAAAGGGGACTCATCAGAATGTAAGACTCATTGCTTCGCTAGCGGCCCCAGGCTGTTTCTCACCCAAAGAGAGTCCAAACCCCAGGAAAGCCTACACATCTACACACTCATTAGGAACCTGGGGAGACATGGGAAACACGTTCTCATGTAGGGACCGCCATATTGTGCTCTCCTTCCTGAAGAGGGCCAGGAATAAACCTCAAGGTGGCGCTGTGGGGCGGGAGATCTGTGTGGGTCTGTGGCCAGAGTGTCTCACCGTGAGGGCTGTGTTG